ACTTCTTACAATATTAAGACGTAATGTGGGAATGGAAATTTTCCTTGCTGAATATTTAATTGCATTAAAAATACATATGTGGTAACTTTTCCGATAAATATGTAACATTGAAAGATTAATAAACAAAAAATTGAAATAAAATGCGCAACTGAACTGTTTTCATTAATTCTCTTAATTCTTTTCTTAATATTTAACGATCCGTTTAATAATTAATCTAAAATTATCGTATTTTTTTTTTGGTATGAAAGAAAAAGCTTCGAATTACGTACAAAGATCACGAAAGAATAAGAAAAACAATATTCATATATGTTATGTATTTACATATATATGCGCATACGATGACGTTATTGATCTTTTATGATTTCATGCATAATTCTCATAAAATTTAACAAAACTTTGAATAGAAATGAAGATAAAAGGAAAAAGGACTTTTCAGTGGGATTTATATGGTTAAAAACTAAAGATTTAATTGTAAACTTTCATCCTCGAAAATTAATGCTCCTCGTACATAACTACCTATTATAATATAAATACTCAATTTGTTCTTTTAAATTTTATTCTGAAAATAAATAAATAGTTACATTGTAATTGCATTTACATTTAAATAATTTATATTGTAATAGTAATTTCTAGTTTAAAAGTTGTTATCACATTATGGTCGTATTAATAATATTTGTAGTTCTTTTACATTTATATAATTAAAATGTTATTTACAAACGCGAGGCACTAGAATTGTACGTTCCACTCCTTACAAATTAAATAAATTAATTATAAATTTAAAAGATTATTTAACGTACCTGATAATTACATAATTTTTTAAAATACCAATAAATAATTCAAGACACGATATATGAAATAGTTTAAAGAATTAAGAAAATATTTCGACAATTCAATTAACTTACTAATTTACTAATAAATAAAATAAATGTAAAAGTCTAACTTCTACTCATGCATTTAAAATTAATTTAATTATCTCGATTTCTGGTATAATTTTCAACTTGATAAACGTACCATAATGTGTTAACTAAGTACATAGTATATCATTTATTTCATATTTTTCGAATCAGGTACTTTCAGTAATAGACTTACAATTTTTAAATGCAAATGCAAAAATATTATTTCTTAATGATTTCATTCAACGTTTAAACGTACGTGAATATTTTTATGTAATATTTTAAAATCAACTATTTTAATTATAATTAATCGTTGCATATATTCAAACTATCGTTTAATAGGGAAAGACAAAAAGAGACACAAGATTAGAAATCTGAAATATATATGATGTTTATCAGTATACATTTGAAGACTGTAGTGCATTAATCTACGTGTCAGAATTTGCAAAATTCTATCAATGTATTTTAATCACAAACTTATCGAATCAATTTATGTATATTCATCAACTGGTTTATTACAATGTATAGCCTCTATGACAATAGAAAAGATCAGTAACCACCCCTCTTGACACACTATACATGTGCATTTACATATGTGATCTCATAACGTATCTGTGGTATACTTCTCTAACCATCAACAGATATTCTGTATATTGCCAGAATCATAACGATTGATACAATCGCTCTCTTTAGTTGTATAGCATACTACCAATGCGGTATAACGGTATAAATTATCTTCTCTGTTCAAAAACTTTGAAAAGATATTTACGTGCTACTTATTTTGTCACTGATGCAGTTATTACGAGGTTGATTGAGTATTAAAACCCGACAGACAAAATGTTATCTATAAAGCAATTGAATGATTTTTATAAATTTGTAAATTTCATAATTGTATCTATTTATCAATAATTATTTGTCAAAGGAAATTAATTTTTGAACTTTTTAAAGACGGCTATCGTACAAAAATGAAAAGATCATTTGTAATAATCACCATATTATTATTTAATATGGAAAAAGCAGTTTTTTTAATTTTTACAATTACATTGATTTTATATTAGCACACAATATTTTCCTTTTTTTAACAAAAATCTTTTACTTAAAAGAAATGTAAAGAAATATTGTTTTCTTTTTTAAATTTATGTTGTAAAATATTTTGAAATATAAATAAATGAATCTGAAATATAATTGCGAAAATGAATTACTAAGAATTTTTTCAATGTTATAAAGCTGTCAAAGACAAATCGCATCATTTCTTTCTAAATTTTTTCTCGATAATTTACAAAAAAAGAGATAATAATAATAATACTAATAATAACAATAATAATAATGACGTCATATATTTGTTAATGTTTTTGTCAATTTCTATTTCTTTAAATTAGTATTTAATTAATAAAAGAAGGAAAATACATGAGAGGGGTGACTTCTATGAACTAAATAAAAGAAGATATTTGTACTAAAACTTTACAACTTCCGTATTCATCTACCATAGGCAGAATAACAGAAGTTGATATCTTTTTCTACAGCCAACACTGGATTTGATCAACTTTAAAAAAGGCCATTGTATACAATTTTAAGTAAGACATAATATGCAATGAACAATTAAGTCGACCGATTACAGGAATGATAAAATAACATGAAAAATACAATCGGTCGTCTTTCTTGCGCATTATATGAATACATTCCGTGTAATGGCCGTTAAGGTGATCCAATTTTACGGATCCTAGGACTGGTGGGGAAATCAGATGTGTTTAACCCCTTTGATATAAATATTATAGTAAATTATGAGTTACAAAAAATTTTCTTCTGCTTCTTTTTTTCTCTTGTCATAGGTAGTGTCTTTTATGTCAAAACCATGACATAAATGGTTTCTTAAAGGAGAAACATCAAAGACAGTCTTTTGCAGACTCATCCTCTCCATAGATTTCTGGTAACGTCGTTTGACCACAAACTAAGTCTGATATACTTTTAGCTTTCACCGAGTGGCCGAAAGATTGTGCACAAACACTGAAATCTTTCGTCATCTCACTAATTTCTTTGCTCTCCTGATGGTCACATGTACTTGGTAATTTAACAGTTGACATGGGATATATATTATCATCACCAAGATTATTCTTACCAAAAGATGCGAGTGAAGTTGCAGTTGACGTAGTTGTAATCATATTTTGCGAATTATCAATATCCATATAATAATCCTAGAACAAATTAAATCGTTTGCTTTCTCCTATAATTTTAAGAATATGAATATTCGCGATCGTTGTTACTAACTTTCTCTGTGTTTAAAGAATTATTAATTTGAGGCTGTGATGGACAATTTTGATTACACTGTGCCAAAGCAATTAGTGCCTTTTGATTTTCTCTCGCATCAACCAAAAATATACTTTCCTTAACTTCTTTCGCATTATATTCATCAATTCTGTAAAAAATATTATGGTATATAATATACTATATATCATATCCTATTTATATATCAATAATTTACGTGTTTAAAGATTACTCACTTGTCATAGATGACTGCATGCAAACCAAGTTTCTTTAAATGTTGAATCGTATCTTTATCATTATTGTCATCTCCCCAACAAAAAATGATTAAACCAGCATCCTTTACAAATTTAACTTGCGACGGATCTCGAAGAATATCTTCGGTATGGACATTAATTCCTAAGATATCAGCAGCTAATGCATGTCTGACAGCCATTGGTACTGTTTGACATCTCGGATCATGATAAGTAGGATACTTTGAAGTAATTCCTTGTGTCAAAAATACTACTGGGTACTTATTTTGTTTAAGACGGATCATGGCACAAATATCTGGGTTAAATGACGAGAAGACGATTTTCCTATCTCCTCCATATTCTAGGACGACTTTTAATATAATATCTAAATATAGATTGAGATCGAAAGGATGGTTAAGCTCGAATGTACCGTCCTGTTAAAATAATATTACGATTTTCGTAAGAAAATAACAGAAATATTAAATAAATAAAAAAAATAAATTTATTATTTTTACCTTCAACTGCATAGTCCATTTAATTTCAATATTGCATCCAACATGTTGTTCTAATTCCTGCAATACGGTCTGAAGTGTCGGAAATGGCTGATGATCTTCTAGATCTTCATCAAAAAATTTTGGATTCTTTTCTCGACCTTCAGCCACGTGATAAACCTGCAAGAAAATTTTATTTTATAAAAAATGTATAAAATGGAACATTTTGTTAATATAATTCTGTTAGATCAAAGGTTGGTAAAGGTTGTACAATGTTTGACGCAAGAGACTTTTTGAAGCAAACCAAAAGCAAACTTCGAAGTCATGTGAATATATTAAAAATAATATCATGTCTTTCATGATATTACTCACATGCTGTGATAATGTGATATTTTTATACATTTTTCGATGAGAAGTTTTGCGCCTACACGCGGAGACAAATACGTGAAGTCACAGGGGAATGAAACTGGTGAAAGATTATTAAAAATGATTTTTAAGATTTTTAAGATTTTTAAAGCATTTTTGCAAAAAGGTTGTTTGGTGATATTACAATAGTAAAAAATACTTTTAGATTAAATGACTTCGATATTTTACAATATCGAGATTAAGCTTTTAGCTTTTAATCAAAGCATATATGTAAATATACGACATTATAGTGATGTGATTTTTAAAAATTAATTTTAATTGATTTTAGAATAAATTTTAAACAAGCATGCATCAAGTTTTTTTTAAATAACTAAATTGTTATACATTTTGGCGACGAGTTAGGCGGCGCAAGCGATATGAAAGCTCACCAGTTGGTTAACCCCCTGTTCAGCTTTATCAACGAAATACAGCACCTTACCCAACGAGTCTCCAGGGTAATAAAAATCCTGTTGAATATTAAAAAGAGACAAATACGAATAGGTATGTTGTTACACTTGTAAATGCATGATTGCATGTCTGTGTATCTACATACGATACAACCCCTGAAGTGATCGATTTCTCCTTAATACAAAAAAGGACATAAAAAGCAAGTTAATTCGCGTAGCATTATTTAAAAGCCGCATTCTATATGGTTAATGATAGACGATAAATTATATTAAATGCATCTCATTAATGATTATGCAATTAAATGATTATGGTGATTTTAACATTCCTTAACATTCCTTAATGATTAATGAAATTTTTCCGTATTTTTTATATTACTTAATATTAAATATTTAGTTTGTATCACGCATGTATTAATTGTTAACAGTTTTAAATAGAAAAAAGATTTTTAAATCGTTCTTCACATTTATGTATATTTTATAATAAAATAAAAAAATAAAATCCATTGTATTCACGTTGAAAATATTGAAATCTGTAAATAATTATAAAAATGAAACTATGATGTTGATGAAAATAATATAAATTATTCAAATTTAAATATACTTTGAAATACGAATTACCTTTAATAGATGTAGTTGTTCTAGTGTAAGGTCCTTAACAGGTATTTCCAACATGTCCATAGCTTCTATTTGTTTCTTACGTTTCAATGAAATAGAAACATAAAAATCATGATAAATAACCGGTATATGATCTTTAGACAATTGGACGTCAAATTCAACCATGTCAGCTCCATGATACGATGCAGTCTTTAAAGAAGCTATTGTATTTTCACGTACATTAGCACAGCTATAAACAAATTGCAATATATAAATTTTAGCATTCAAATAATAATTTCAAAGAAATATTATATTTTCAATAGACCTCTGAAGATATTAACGTACTTTTCTGTTTGGAAGGATGTACCTAAACCTCTATGTCCTACATCCAGGCCAGACCACCGTTGTTCCCAATGTTTTGCATATGAAATACTCATATCCCATGGATAATCCGGAATTGATTTTATTACAACATACTCTACTGTAAGTTGTCCTAAAGAAAAAAATAAAATTTATGACAATTATTAATAATTTAAAAAAATTTTTTTTAAAAATATATCATACCGATTGGTCTATGTTTTGTGCTTGTAATTGGTACTGTTAAAAGCCCAACACTGGACTGTAATGTACTAGGCAAGATGTAGCTGAAACCAATATGACTCGGTGGTTCTCCTGGAAAACACCTTGAGCTGTACACGTAGTAGTCCACTAAATATGCCTGAAAAAACAGCCTACTCAATATATATGGAAAAATACCATTATTTATAACAACACCAAAATGCTTGCATCAATACTTTTGCTCATCCATAACAGGATTTGTTTCAACATTAAGTCCAATGATCAAGGACATTTGAAATTTTTTTTTTTGTGAATATTTTAAATCTGAGAAACAAGAAAATTAGAGATTCTAGTATAGGTATAATTTTATGGCAAATTATTAAAGATCCTTGATCACTAAAAAATCGTAGGAATTAAATTCAAATTATCATCAAAGACATTTTTGTAAATCTTGCTTTTCCACAAACTTTTTTTTTTTAAATTCTTTGGCAGATTCAAATAATTTGTAGGCAAGAGCAACAAATTACTAATAATAATAAATGGTAAAACAAAGGATAATAATTTATTTCCTACATAATCTAGCAATGAACCAGACCAATAATTGCCAAATGCTGTACTCTGCCTGGTGACGCGTATTCCGCAACACCTGCTGATCATTCATTATTAAATTTCGATATCAAGTCTGCAAAGTTTATTCAGTAATTCAGATTCAGAAGATTCTGACAGCTTAGTCTGGCATTGGCTGCGCAGCGGTGTCACGTGCGGTACAGTAGAGTTGGTCAGAGCTAGAAAATATTAGTAGTACACTAAAAGGATATAGGAGTGATGGGAGCCTCACCATTTTCGACGCACACAGATGGATATGAGGTGTGACAGCGTTGATATCTCTAAATTCTTAGGGTTGCTTAGGACGGCTGCGGCTCACGTAAACTGATTTCGCATAACGAGTAGAATGCAACATTTTCATGATAAATATTATCTGATAAAGCCCGATATTTCAAACTACAATGGCACGATTTTCTTTAAAAAATTTTGCAGCTTTACGAGAGACTAGCCTAAGGATAGGTGCGGTAGGGCGAACGACAATCAAAACCATCATATCTCTGTGTGATGTCATGTGACACAGATGTAAAGTGGTAGACGATGCTTAGCATCGATACATCAGATTGCATGTTAGCATCAACGTTTGCACCAGAGGTCTTGCTTTGTACAAAGCTGACGGTTGTCTTCGTTCCAGGCCAGTACGCGTGACATCGCTTCTGGTTTCCAAGGAGGGCAATAGCTGCTGAACAAGTTTAATTATCTTTTACCAAGTAATTTGAACAAGTCGCGAGAGAAGACGTGGCCGGCCTACTCGTGGTCTACTGAAAACTCACATGGTATGGTCAATGCGTATCTTTAGTGTGTCTAATCTTTTGTATGAATTACCACTAGTTCGTAATTTATTGCTCTGCCATATCTATAATTTTTATTGTTCTTGTTCTATTCATTACTTATCTGCCATTTACATTGATGTACTTCCATTATTATACATCAATGTATAATGTATTTTCGTCAATACCAATAAGCTAAAAGAAGATATCATATACATATTAGGTACCCAGAAAAGTTTTTGTCAATTTTTGTTGTTATAATTCCAATGATTCTTGTGACTGACAACTAATGTGTGTGTGTGTGTGTGTGTGTGTGTGTGTGTGTGTGTGTGTGTATA